GCTAATGTGGCTTATGCACTTGTCGTAAAAACAAATATTGACTTGGAAGACAGTTCCTCTGGGAATGCAGAAAAGTACTGTTGCACAAATCTGTGGTCAGTTGTAGTGCCTTAATTATGCATTGGTATCTATGTAAAGCAGATACAGTATTTCTAAGAGCATATAGATAATATATAAATAAAATTTGATTTTTTTTGTAGAACAGGATTTCAGTAATGCTATAAATAACTAAAAATGTATTATTTTGTTGTTGTAAGCAGGATGGCTATAAGAATATAAAATGTGCGTAGAAATAACTATAGTTTTAATCATATATGCATGATCCATCTGATTTTTAAAAAAAATTTTCAGTAAGAACTGTGTGGAATGGTTTCATTTTTCTGTTAAAATGTTTGTAAGAAGGAGTTATTGTTCCTAGATCGAAAAACGATAGGGCATGTGACCTGAAAAGAGATTCAGGAGAATTTTAATTGATCCCCTTTCTTCAGTGAAGTAGGAAAGTGATAAATAATTAGTCTTCCCTCAAGCATAATTAATAAGTTAGGCTTCTGATGAAACTTCATTTAAATGAACAGTGTTTTGAAGCAGACTTTTATATATTGCATGTATGCTTTCCCTAGTTACTCTAAGCTCTAAACATCTTACATCACCAATTAAAGCAATTAATATGTTTTTAAAGGTCAGAAATAATGCCTCACAACATTTCTCTAAGGGATGAAGCATCCAGTCCTATGAGTGACTCTTAGGATGGTCACTTGGTCAGTTTGAAATGAAAGGATGAAAAGGATGCTTAGTAATTCCTGAACTATGGTGATTCTGCCCCGCCGCCTCAAGCTAGTAGTGACCCAAGTTCTGCAGAAAATACTCTAATAACCTTATTTATCTATGGGGAACCTTTCCATGGTCAAACCAGCCATGCCCTTTGTTTTTATTCTAAAAAATGTAACTGTGGTAACTGAGCCATAGACCAGTTTCTGCACAGTCAGGTCTGTCAGAATGCACGCATCTGAATGTGATCACCTGAACCATAGACTGAAATCTGAGGGATGAAGTAGATCTGTAATATTTTGAGCCCTGTTTTGGTATTTTGTCTATTTCTCCTTTTGGAGCCAGGGAAAAGGTCAGATAATTAAGATAATTAAGTTTTTCTGTATATAGAAAAACATAATGGGCTTTTTCTATTGCCATTCATATAAAGAGAAGTAGCCTTTGTCAGTACTGCCTTTTGTTTTTTGGTAAACTAGCTGGAGCTATCAATGTACTCAATATGACCACTGCTTGCTTTCCTACTTTGGAGTCCCTGAAATTTATCACAAAGTAGACAGCACGTTCCTTTTCTGTTCACTGTGAGTGAGGACCTTCTTGTTTCTTCACTGAAAATCTTCTACTAGTTGTCAACATAGCATAAATTCAGCAAGGAGACCTGGCAGAAGTACACACCAGTCCCACTGTTATTGTGATTTAAACTGATGACTGAAGAACGGTAATGAGCCCAGCTCTGCTAAATGCTTCTGACACTGTAGTCAGCCAGACTTGCAAAAAAAGAATCTGAACTAATACAATGAATGGAAACAAGAATGGCGTCTTATTCTTGTAGCTGTATTTTGATTATTTAGTGGAAGGATTGGGGGAGGTGATCATTCACATCTTAAGGTGAGGGAAATAGAAGTTAAGACTGCACATGGGGCATGGCAGCCCACATAGTCACTTCAGCATCAGTAAATCCTTTGTCAAGACAATGGACTTGGTTTACCTAGAATCTAAACTGGGGGCTACTGCAACACAGTAGTAAACGATAGCTCCTTTCCCTGTACGCGTGGTACCCCAAGCACAATGGAGCCTCTAAGTGTGATGGTAACAGTCACAGTAAGTAAAAGGGTCTGGTTCTGCTGTGCAAAAACTTCCTGCATCTAGCGTCTCTTCTTACCAGGAATGTGGAATAAAAAAAATGAATTTATGAGGGAATGTAGTAAAATGCAGTACGTTCTCTGCCAGCCAATTCAACTTAACCTTGCTTCAGTCTTGTTTCTTGAGAATAAAGGGGTACAGATATGGTACCAAGAACCAATTTTCGTATCTTTCATAGCACTGAAAACCATCTCTGATATGCGGCCAGGAATCTTACTCTGCAGTGTTTCATGCAACAACAGAATGCAAAATGAAATAAAAGTGAGATTTTTCTTAACAACTGTTCAGAGCTAAAGGTGTTCTTTTCTAGAAAAGTTTTCATTCTATAGTAGAAGTTAGAAATACCGTGATCTGAGCTTCTTGATACTCACCTTTTTTGTTGAAAAACTACACAAGTTGGGGTCTTGATAGTTTCAGAGATAGAACCCTAATTTTGGTTTTCTTCTCTTCAGAGGTTAAACATGCTGTGAAGATTCCTGTGCTGATTGGGTCTGGAGTGACTCTGGAGAATGTGAGGAAATACTTGGATGCAAATGCTCTAATAATTGGTTCGTATTTCAAGAAAGAAGGTTATTGGGCAAATGATGTTGATCCTGACCGAGTAAAGAAATTTATGGAGCACATAAGTAAACTGAGAGAATGAGTTTGTCAGCAAACACTTTTTTTTTTTTTGCATCTGTGTGTTTGTAAGTGCAGTATGATACATTGTATGGAATCAAAGCAGAAATCTGTGCTTGAATGGCTGATAACATTAAATGAAAATGCACATAATCTTCGTAACTAGCTGGGAAGCGTGGTGACACTTTACAGTAAACTGGTACTCTGATGTTTGTTTCTAGGCAGCACATTTCTGTGGCACTCAAAGCCATCATCAATGCAAAACCAACTCTCTGAAGGCTTGTGTAATGTATTCTCTCCTATAAGTAAAATGGTTATGGAGTTTAAGAGTTTGTAGTAAATATTCTTCACAGGTGAGCTGAGGTTTGTTTTGCATGTGAGTAGAACACGATGCCCTAAGTTTACAGCTAAGAGTATTGTAAATTGGACAAGTTAATTAGCCTTTCAGTTTCCCCATCTGTAAAATGATGATAATAGTACCTACATCACATAAGGATTGTAAGACATAATAAATGAATGAATGTACAGCACTTCCATCTCCTCAAATGAAGGGCTCTGTTAAAGTTGAAGATCATTATTTTTTCATTACAATTATGCATTTATTACAAAAATGTAGTAATTGTGTACCATACAAAAATTTAAGATAATTGGGAAATTGATTTACTTAAAATACTTATTAGAGAATAAATGTAAATACTTAATTACATTTTAAGTAGAGTTGGAATTTAGTCAAATTTTTTTTGCAAAAATTGGAAATTTTAATAAAGGTTTATTGTTGTTTTTCAGCAAGCTCCTACAGCTTTGTACCTCTCCAGACTAGTATTAGTGATGTTAAAAACTGCCAGGTTCCTTCCAATACACAAGGTGTAATTATGATGGAAACCTTTCTACCAAAGCTGACAGGTAAACGCAGATTTTCCTTTTTCCTGTAAAATGTAGAGGAAAAATACCACAGTCTCACTGTGTATGTTGTAAGAGATTCCCCTTGAATTTGATCTTTTAGCTGTAAGGAAGTTTAAAATAACCCAAAGAATACTTGTTATGTCATGACTGTATGGAATGTGGGCATATGTTTTCATCCCTTGGGACTGGGAACTAAGGTTGTCCTCCGGGATCGATCTCTTTTTCCTTGACATCTATGCATCAGGCTTCTGCCAACGCTAATGAAAGTTATATTGCAGATATCAAAGCAAGTATACAAATACATTTTTTGTGTCAGCTGGCACAGTGCCTGTACTTCTCTGAACTAAAGATACAATCTCCTTCCAAAGACAAAAAGATTTTTCAAGAAATTTAGTTTCATTAACATAATGGTGATTCCAGAACATCACAGCATGAGATTAAGTCTTCTCACATTTCTTTTTTCTGGACTAGTCTGTCTCCCACATGACTTCCATCAAAAGCAATGAAGTGTCTTTGGTGTGCCGACCTCCTGGAAAAGAGATTCTTTAGACCCTATGACAACCTTGGCATTCTTCTGCTTTTCTCCTTTTTCCTCCTAAACATGCTGACAAAGTTTCAACGCATAGAAATCCTTTCAGGAGCCTGTTTATTGTGGCTGGCACTACTTTTTCAAAGTCCATATTTACACTGGCGTTTTAATCTGCCGTGTGTTTGGGCTTCCATCGAAGCCAACAGTTCCATCCCAACCATTTGTCCCCACCATTTCTCTTCTGCCAGCAGGACCATTCATGTGGCCTCACAGAGACCAGGCAGCTGATTCTAGCTAAAAGCTAACCCAGTCTTGTATCAGCCACACTCAGTGCGGTGGTGGGGAAATTTGGGTCATCTTTCTCATTCCTTGCACCTGCAGCTCTAAGTCCAAGCTGTTGGTATAGGCAGCGCAGAATTATTTGAGGACCGTGAAGATGCTTTCTAAATCTGCCTTCCACACACTCATTCACTCACAGCATATTTACCAGATAAAACATTGATCTGGTTTAGTCTTTAAGCTCTTAGCCTGAGTAATGAGTTCATCTTATGTCTTCTTTCTTGTGGAAAAACATCACATAAAAAAGAATTCATTTAGCTATCAGTAATATCACTTGTGCTTAAATCAGTACATATTTTTCATCTTTCACAAGTCATGTATGTTTCCATACATCATTGCACAGAAGATTGGATGATGGTTGTCCCAACAGATATTTTCTAATATAATTGTTGGCAACTTTGGAAGTTATTTTGAGTAAACCAGTAAGCTAGAAAGGCTGTCATGTAAGCAATGAGCACTAGCCACTGCTCTAGTGCCGTAAGAAGATTAAATGTCTTCAGGTAGTCAGCTGAAAACTACAACCAATACACTGATTGTTCAGTGATGAGAACTATGTTTAAAGAAACTGATTACAGTTGCCAAAAGTCACGTTCATCACTGAGTGTCAAAATATAATGTGTTACCAGTATGTTTCTTGAATTGGTTTCTACTCATTCACATCCTAAAAACTCAGAAGTGACTGGGACTCGAATGGGTTTTCATCTGAATAAAAGGGGTGGTAAGTGAGAACTACTTCAATCCTATATGCAAGGTCTAAATGAAGTAATGTCATATGCAGTAGTCTTTGTAATATTAATTTGTAAGACTAATAACATGCAATGAATACTGTAGACAGCACTTTCACTGTTAGGATTTCATTTAACACACCTCTATGTAACACTTACGGAAGGAACAGGCCATCATTTGGGTCTGTATTGTTACATATGAATGGTAAGTCAGAATTTAGGGACAGAAGCAAAGGAAAGCTGATTTTAAAGCCTGGAAATGTGACTGATCACCAACTTTTTATCATTCTTTGTGCTGAAAGTATTTGTCTAGCAGCATTAAGCATCTGCTTGCCTGTTTCACACAGATGCTGTAAGTAGAATTTGACCTTTTGTTCAGAAAGTGTTTGAATATTTCATGTAAAAATATTAAGTTATCAGAAAGGCTGTCTCTTTTGGGAAGTGTTCAATTTTTGTACAGCCCAAGTTGTTAAAGTACTTTGGAGCATGAACAACTTCAGAGCAGAACAAAGCAGGCAGTGCTAATGTGTAGAAACTCCAGAAGTAAATAACAGCTGTTCAAGAAGACTTCTATTAAATATGTATTAATTAATTTGAAGTGCATCACTTAAATATGTGAAGAGATTATCTTGTGTTAATTTACATTAAAACACACAGCACTTGTTAGCCTCATTACAGTATCCTAAGTATATCCTAAGCTATCACCTCATCCTACATTGAGCATTTTGTTGGGTGTTGATTGCTTTCGATTTGCCCTTTTAAAATGTCAGATAGTGCTCTCCCTTTCTTGTTGGATCTCTTCTTTCTCTCAGGTTTTGCTCTTGCATAGCTACTGTACTTACTCATGCCCATTCTGTACTGAGCAGAAAAAACTTAAAAATAGATTGTGAAAATATAACAGAGCTCAGTTCACTAGTGCGCTCACCTCAACTTCATGTGTGGTTCTTGCTGTTAACTTATGAACCAGCAGTGAGAATGTAAGTGTTCGTTTGTGTAGCAAAATGACTTTACGTGAAGATTCAGTATCACCTTTAGTATAGGAAAGATACCTAGTAAAATGGGGGTCTCTTTAGTGAAATTATAAGTAAATAAAAGTCACTGGTAATAATAGACTTTGTGGTCTAAATCAATGCATAAATCTTAATAAACTCTCGTTCCATTCATAAGACTGAAATATTTTTATCTGGAACTAATAAGATGATTTTTTTTTTTTAACCTATTTTGGTGCTGAAATATGTAAGCTTGTAAGATTTATGGATAATTTGCAGAGCTTTTCTTCCCTGTGTCATTTAGGCAGCAGATCCTGCTGCTAGGCTGTTCTTTCATCCCATTATTTTGGTTCTGGAGATTCCCTGATTACAAGTTGGAGTCTAGTTCTTGTTTCCTGCACCTATTCCAACAAACTCCTCACTGGGTGAAAACTGAGAGATATAAAGGACTTGCAGTCAGGTCGTGGCAGAGCAGGAAGGGGGAAAGAAACAAAAACATTTGGCTTTAGCAAAACCTGAAAGTCCATAAGAAATTGCTATGTTGCGTGGTTCTCTTGAGAGAAGCGCATGGGGATGTCTGCTGTAGTTTGGGGGTGTTTGCAGCCTCTTCGGTTAAGACTTAGTGAGTTCATACCTAGCTTATGTTTCAAGATAATCTCTGCTGGTATGTGTGCTTAGGGAGACTTTTTTTTTTCCTAAATGAAAGCTGACATTTTGCAGGATAATTATTGTGATAAGGGGTGAGATCTGTAGCAAAATCCAAGCTTGGAATTCACAGCTCCTTGGTTTAAGAGCAGATTTAGATGTATCTTCAAAAAGATATCATCAAAGGTCTGCATTACAAGAACTTCACTTACTTCCTGCACCTTTGCCCTAACATCCAGCCAGCATTTGCTGTGATGAGGAACTTGGAATCACAGAATAATTTGGGCTGAAAGGGACCTTTAAAGGTCCTCTAGTCCAACCTCCCTGCAGTGAGCAGGGACATCTTTAGCTGGATCAAGTCACTCAGATCCCAGTCCAACCTGACTTTGAATGTTTCCAGGGATGGAGCTTCTACCATCTCTCTGGGCAGTGTGTTTCACCACCCTCATTGTAAAAAATTTCTTCCATGTATCTAGTCTAAATCTGCCCTCTTTTAGTCTAAAACCATTACTCCTTGTTTTATTGCAACAGGCCCTGCTAAAAAGATTGCCCCCATCTTTCTTACAGGCCACCCTTAAGTACTGAAAGGCAATAAGGTCTTCTCAGAGCCTTCTCTTCTCCAGGCTGAACAACCCCAACTGCCTCAGCCTGTCCTCATAGGAGAGATGCTCCAGCCCCCGATCATCTTTGTGGCCCTCCTCTGGACTTGCTCCAACAGGTCCATGTCTTTCTTGTACTGAGGACTCCAGAGCTGGACACAGTACTGAAGGTGGGGTCTCACCAAAGCAGAGTAGGGGGGAAGTTTAGCTTAGGAACAGAACTGTCTCTGGTTTGGTTTTTTTTTCTTGCACATTTGCAGTGCTTATCTGTGCGACCTGAATAACAGATTGTTCAGAAGGGGTAGAGAATTGGGCTGAGACATCCTTTGTGTGGGCTAACATGCAATGATCTGTAGTAGAGTTGACCCTCCCCTCCACTCTGTGGTCCTAGCTGCAGAAATACCATCAGAACTTAAAATGCACCAGAGGGAGACAGAGCTGGATTCCTGCTTTGGAGGTCTCAGCGAAACCTACCAAATTAGCTCCTTGTTTTTATAAGATCCAGTGCTTGTACTGAGGCTTGCAAGAAATTGTTCATGTTGAGGCATTATGGAACTTACCTCCATTTTTTTTCCCTGCTCTTAACCATTGTTCGACTCTGAGTGACAAGGATTGTTTGATCCTTTGAACACTTGTTTTAGGGATAAAAATCCTATTTCCCTTAGCATGTATGTTCAAGACCTGTGTTAGGACTAATAATTCTGGTCACATTGTTCTCATATAGTGAATGGTTAGGAATCTTCTGTTGAAAAATTCCATACTTGGTCAATATTAAGTTGAAAATGATGCATAGTTTCTTGACTGTGTTTATATTCCTGACTTCATCTGTCAAAAAGACTTTGACACTCACTCAGGTCCAGACAGACCTATTAAATGCTTTCCTTGGGTTACACTTCAGCTGGAAAAGTTACTACTTGCCTATGCACTATCTCAGACTGATGCCTTTGGGGCACTGAAGTATTCCAGCCTTCATAGGT